AGAGAGAGAGAGAGAGAGAGAGAGAGAGATGTTACCATGGAAACGTGTGGTGATAGTTGTGATAACTTTCGCCCATCAGAACGTGATTGATTGGACTTTCCGTAGCCATAATGTGTTTATCGTAAGGCTTGACGTTTAAAACAAACAAAAAACATACAATTAAATTATATTATTAACTACATATAAAGTATAGTACAAAACTAAATGCACCTTATTGCCGTAAACGTGGGCCAAGCTGTTAATACTCCACGCTAAATTGAGAGTCACCACGTACCGGTATATCACGCACGTAAACCACGCCGCCCACAGACTCTCACCCCAGACATAGTATGGTATCAATACGGGTAATACGCCCCACACTATCGGGCCGAGGGTCATGTGATAGCGGCGCTCAAACTGCACCACTGGGTCCCAGTCCAAATCATCTAGGTACACTTTTGTGCGCGCCTCCAGCACACGGGGGTGCGATTGGCACATAAGCCACCCGATGTGGGCGAAGAATAAGCCACGCCTTATATTGTGGGGGTCGGCGTCGGTGTCGGAGTAGCGGTGATGCACGCGATGGTTGCGACACCACTTGTATAGGTTGTGCTGAAAGCTCATCATAAATAGAAAGGCGAGTATGTATTGTAGCGGTGCTTTCGCTTTGTACGACCGGTGCGTCCATAGTCTATGCGCTCCGCACTGTTTTTATGAAGGTTGGTTAATATATTAATTACCCGGTGCATATAATTATATAAATGTTTATATTGTTGGTATCAGAAAACTCTGAATATACAATGCAACTTCTCCATTGGAAAAGCAGTTTGCAATGACAAAAGTGTTTATTGGGGATGATTGTTTCTCCAAGAGAGGTTGCTATATAAACATTCTAAATATGCTAAATTATTGTGGTAATATAACGAATAATTTGTAATTGTAACTTATTTTCACCAGTAAAACAATAATCACATTAGTCTACAGTATTATGTGTTTGTTTTTTTACAACCAGCTCAATTTTTACCCAAATTTTTAGAAATTCATTTTCTATATTTTAATACAATATCATTCATTGCAATTAATATATTTTTAAAAAAAGATTGAGGGCCCTGAGATTATTTTTATCAGATAGAAACCATCATGCTATTATTAAACCATACCGAAAAGCCAAATGATGTAAGTTGGCCCACCAGATACATGTAGGGCAGTGTTAGTAATTTGGCCTGGGTCACACCAACGTAAATTGCATACAAGGCTGCCACGTGCAATAGCGCAAAAGTTATTACATTGACCCAATATATCTCTAACTTTTGATCAAGTTGCAATTTGTCGTCAATACTGGTGCCGTTCATCAAAAGTTGATCATCATCATTACTGAAATTATTTGCCATTTTCATCATTTATGATAAATATTATCTAAATTAATTTCAATTAATAAACATGATCTCACATTTGTCCCCGATCGATGGTACCGTTTGATTCATCAGTAGTCGTATCATCATTTTCTATTTGCATACATCATAAAACAAATTGTGTTATATATAGGGCATAACCTTTTAATTACGTTTATCGTGATTGTTTGGTCATATATTATTTATTAAAGTTTAAGCAATTAATAATTAATGATTATTTATTTATAAATATTTTTTTGTTTCTGTTTTGTAATAATAATTATTTATAAATTTAAAATAATTCAAATTCATTATACATTAATTAAAATTATATACAAGTATATATTTAAACAATTTTGATGATTTACAATTAAACATGTTAGTAATATCATTAAATATGCTTTATATAACACAATATATTTGGTTATTCATATAACGTATGTGTAATTAAATTATAAATATAGAAAATATGGTGATTTACCGTTAAAACGCTTTTTCTGATCGTCGGTAATCAAGTCCTGGCCGTCGTATACATATTGAGTAACTTTCTCTTTAATCCGGATTTTGCCCAACATTTCCGACTTTACCACGTTTTCTATCAACATACTTATTAAATGCCACAAAATAATTTTATATTATAATATTACTAAATAATATATATTTAATTATTTATACGAGCCAGTTTACTAGCCAGTTAATTTATATAATAATTTTAAGAGATGATGTGAATGTTATTGAGTTGAAATTAATAAGCAACTTATATCTTGTATAAAAATGATATACATGCTAAAATTTATATAAGTTGTTATTATACCGTTTTATAGTAATTATAAATTGTTTCTACGTAAATAACAAATTGTAAATGCTAAAGATGTCTTATTACTAAATTGACTTAATGGCACATAATAACTATTTTGTGATTATTGAAATTTTAACATTTAAATAAACTAGTTCTATTTAATTGTTATAACCAGTTTTAATTTTATATTCAATGACTATGTTAAAGAAATATTATTTGATTTTTTTCTATTAAATAATATAAATTTTAAATTATCTTGTTGTTGTAAATATGCTAAATTTACTTTTACGCATATTGCTGGTTGGCGCAAATGGTCACCTTGTTTATATTTTAATAAATATTTATAACAAATGTTGTAAATAACTTAACAATATTTATTGATTAGATAGAGTTAACTGTATTGTATATTTAAATTTAAAAAAGCAAAATATCAATTTCTTATAATTATTGTTTAAAAACATGTTTACAATAAAATTAATTAATGTAAAATAATTATTTATTACATAAAAACTACGTCAAACGAAATAAGCTTTATTAACATAATCTCGTTTTTTATAATTATGTTTTATATTTAAACTTATATTTACTGTAGTGAACTACCCTAGTAATGTTTAACTTAAGCTGGTAAAACAGTGATAAAATACAATAAAAATTATTAAAAATTAAAGATAAAGCTAAACTTTAACTAAAAGATAAACTTTATATAAATTTAACCTATTTATAAAATGGTGATCACCGTTTTATCTAGCGTAAATTATTTAACAAACCGGTACAATAAAGTGACCACGGGCTCTAATTGTAAGTTTAGCACTATTAATACGTATTTAAAATCTTTTTCATATTACAGGCTCTATATATTTACCTTGAAATAAAAACTTTACTTGTAATTTAAAAAACAGATCATGATGATAACACAGACGATTTGTTGAATAAATACTCAATAAATGGCATTAACCACAAAATTGGGACTCAAACCACGGAAATTAAGTATGATCACATTTTTCTAATTCAAATGCACATGCTAATTCAAAAACAAACAAATTCAATCACGATCATAGCAACTATAAGAAAGCTCATAAGGTCAAAATAATATGGTGGCCCAACGTTGTGGGTATGGTCATATTGTACATGGCCGGTTTATACGGCTTATACCGGGGCATGTTTTACGCCAAACCAATCACCATTCTCTACATGTATGTTATGGCCATAATTGCTGGACTGGGTGTACAGGTATTGTATCATAATATCCACTAAACAAATTATCTAGTTTAAATTGTTATAGCCGTATTACTCTCATATAGTTGCACACAAAATTTAAATAAAAAATTAATTACTTCTATAATGCTCAGATATAACCTCAACAAAAGATGTAACTATATGCAGAATAATACGGTAACAAGAATTTTAATTAAGGGTAATAATTAATCAAATCAAACAATATAGTGTGGAGTGCACCGGCTTTGGTGTCACCGGACATATAAGGCCAATCGTGTCCTGCAATACATACTGATGGCAATGTTTACGCTGGCCTTTCAGGACAACATATACAAGTGGTCACGTGATCACCGCACTCATCATAAGTACTCGGACACCGACGCTGACCCGCACAACATTAATCGGGGTTTCTTTTTCTCACACGTGGGCTGGTTTTTAAGCAAAAAGCACCCTGATGTTATTAAACAGGGTGCACTCATAGATATGAATGATCTGGACCGCGATCATCTAGTTCAATTTCATCGACGTCATTATATGAAATTAGTGGCGATTATATGGGGTATTATACCAACTCTAATACCCTATTATTTATGGGGCGAGACTTTATGTGACTCTTATTTTGTGGGCGTAATGCTCAGGTATTTAATTGGCTCAAACTTTGCCATGTGCATTAATTCTGTGGCACACTATTGGGGCTACAAGGTAGATTTTTAATTTAGTTGTTTAGGTTATATTAAAATAATACTTTTATATACTTGTTTCAGCCGTACGACAGCGCTATAAACCCTACAGAATGTACTTTAAGGCACCTGATGTTTGGCGAAGGTTTCCATAATTATCATCACGCTTTTCCATGGTAAATAGCTTTTAAAATTTATTTGTCAACCATGCTATATTTTTAAATTTATTATATATTTACATAATCATCAGGGACTATGGGGCCAGCGAGTACGGCCCGTTTGAAGTATTTAACCTGGGCACACTATTTATTGATTTTTTCGCATGGTTGGGCTGGGCGTACGATTTGCGTCGGGCCCCACCCGAGATGGTCGATCAGCGTAAAAAACGTACCGGCGATTTGGGCTGGGTCAAAGGTAGTAGGCTCTATGAATTGTGCACGGTCAGCTTGTTTTTTGGTGTGTTAGCATTTCCATTTGTCATTGGTTATTTACTCCGGGACTAAACTCGGACCCATTTATGGCAACATTTTGTTATTCTAATATTATTAATTTATATGGATACATTTTTGAATTTTGAATTGAATTCTACAGGAAATCATGTAATTTCAATTTATTAATGAAAAAAACTATTGAGTATCATATAAAGTTTATCTATGTAAAGTATTTGTAATAATTTTTTTTAATAAATATTGTTAATGGTTAATAACTATGGCGAACAGAAAAAGGTGAAAAAAGGGGAAATAAGTATATATTAAAGTGTAACTTGGATTTTTCAATAGGTTTGTTAGCTTATGAGTATACTTTTTGTGGTGAAAATACATGAATGACTAATACTGCAATGTATATTAAAACTATGAGTGTTTGCCTTATTAATAACGTATGTAATAACTTTATTTTTATTATATATAATTTATTTTTTATTTATTTATTTTAATAAAGTGCAAACAGCCTATTAATTTATTCAACGGTAAAATGATTAATTAAAATAACATACTTTAATAGTCTCAATATCAATATCAGAAAAAAGTTGTTGTTAAAAAGTAAAAACAATTATTTATATTAAATATTAATTTAAACGTTAAATATTTGTCAATATTAATTAAATATAAATTATACAATTTTATAACTAATACAAGTTAAATATATTTTATTATTTAAATTAAAAATAATTTTTAAAAATGTGTAATATTTCGCGTGATTTTAACAAAATATGCAACAAACTTTAATTTATAAATGATTTAATATTATACAATTTGATATTATAAACAATATGGTAATTTTTATTACAGCAAACAACATTGTAAATAATATTATATGTTTGAAATCAATAAATTCTGAGAAATAATTCATAACAATATTTAGAATTGTGTTAAAAATATCAACAAGGTGATAAATGACGCAAATCTAACATACGTAAACTATTTAATCAAGTTTTCACAAACACAATAATTTTTTAAAATAATTTTTTATTATTTTACTCAAAAAATCATATTTTTATAATTGTTTAAAATTAAATACATGTTTAAACTAGTCTATTTAAATTAAGAATATTATCACAAAATGTCAAATTACCAATATAACTGTTAATAAATTTATTACCTTCAGATATTTGAGTATAAACTGGTGTCAAAATAGTAGGTAAAGGTTTTGGTGCTGTACGGCTAGCGAGTAATAATGGGTTCACTAAATAGATACATGTAACAATCAATTTTACTCTTTATTAAAACAAACACATAATTAAATGTAATAGTAATAGGGATACAAAATATCTGATATTTACGACATCTTTATCATAGTTTAAAATGATTAAAAACAAACTGGGAATAGCAATATTACATGGTAATCACACAATTTAATAAGGTTGCGTGAGTCTAATCAGTAATGGGGATATAATAATTAGCACAGTAGCCAACGCGGTGCACATCTCCCAGACCATGCTCAATTTTTTGTGGCCCATATCACCGGTACGTTTACGTCTCTCTCCAATCATATCGGCTGACGGTTGACGCAAATCGTACGCCTGACCCAACACAGCCATCGTGTTTATGAACATGGTGGCCGGGTTGAACCCATCTAATGGACCATATTCACTCGCCTTATAATCCCTGAATGTGTAATCGGGGTTAGACTGTTATTTACAATTAATACATTAATTTTCTAAATAATCATTGCACTTAATTAACCAGATGTCAATCAATAACCTAATAAACTAAATTATAATTGTTTATTAAAATACTATATTAATTATCAAATAAAAATGATGGGGTATAAAGTAGTTAAATAAAATGTTTACCATGGAAATGTGTGATGATAATTGTGAAACCCTTCGCCAAACATCACGTGCCGTATATTACACTCCACAGGATTTATGGTCTTATCGTATGGCTATTAATTAAACAGAAACATTATTTGTACAATTAAATTAACCATGATAAATTTAAAAAAATATTACCTTATAGCCCCAGTAATGGGCGGCGCTATTAACGCACCATGTTATATTCAATATCAAAACATACCGGAACATTACGCACACAAACCACGCCTCCCACAACCCCTCGCCCCATAAATAGTACGGCGTTAATGTGGGAAATGCGGCCCATATTAGCGCCACTAAAGGCACGTAAAATTTACGTTGTAAACTAATCACGGGGTTAGCGGCCAGATCGCTCATGTCGACGAGTTTACCCTGCTCAATAACTTCGGGGTGCTTTCGGCACATGAGCCAACCCATGTGTGCGAAAAAGAAACCCCGATTAATGTTGTGCGGGTCGGCGTCGGTGTCGGAGTAGCGGTGGTGTACTCTATGGTCGCGACACCACTCGTATA